TGTACCTTTTGGATCTTATTTACTCTTTCAGTTTCTTATACTAGGGAGACAATACGATGTTTACTCACGTAGGTCTGATTTATTTCACTGATGAGTATGGTCTCTAGTTGCATCCATTTACCTATTAAAGCCTTGAGTTTTTCTTTATAGCTGAGTAGTACTCCATTGTATAAAAAATCACATCTTTTTTATCCATTTCTCAGTTGATGGGCATTTGGGTTTTTTCTAAGATTTAGCTATAACAAATTGTGCTGCTATAAACATGGGTGCACATATATTGCTGTGGTGTGATGTTTTCATTTCTTCTGGGAAAATACACAGAAAGAGAATAGCTGGGTTGAATGGGACCTCCAACCCTACTTTTCGGAGGAATGTCCACACAGATTTGCACAGTGATTGTACCAGTCTACACTCCTTACTTCCTGAACTCTTTTTGTTACTTTCTGGTAACTACTGAGAAGTTGCATAGTAGGGTTTAGATAACCTTTCACAGTCCTTCCCCCTCAAAGCAACACATGGAACTGGACGTAGGCCACTAAGAAACTAGATTTTTCTCTTGCTTTTTTTTAAACCACTTATTAGATAAACACTTACTCATTTTCATAGCTGTTGATAGAGATTTTTAAATGTTCTATTTAAAAAGGCATGAGGATTTACTACTGTAATCTGAAAGATTTCTTAGTGTCACTTGTTGTATTTTTATTACTTCCATTTTTTGCACCAAATTTTATTACCTGGTTTTTTCTGTTAGATTTATGTGGTTCTTTACCTAATAAAAATGTTTTATATTTGTGTCTTACGTAGATCATGAAAGGATAGCTTTGGGAAATGAAGAAGGATTATTTGTTGTACATGTCACCAAAGATGGTAAGAGAAAATCTAATTAGTTTTGGAATAATTTTAAATCATATGTTAGAAAATTCTTAAGTCTAAATTCTAAAAAGAGAAAAGTTTGCTTTTATTTATTCTATAACTGAGATTTCCAGGCATAATTTGATAATATCTCTGAATCGAAAAATTAAATTTCTGTAGCTCTCCTACATTCTAGAACTTCAAGTACATGTTTTCTCTGTGTCATTTTGCTGTATGAATTCAGCTCACATTTCTAAAGGTACATGGAAAAAATTACAACATGATGTTCCCATGCTTTATTAGTCCTATAATAGGTAATAGCCATTAAAAGATTGTTTGAGTTTTATTCCCAAAGTTTCATACAACAGGTTTTTTTCTTACGAAGAAATTAAGTACTGGGTGAAAGAAACAGAATTTGGTATTCTAGATACAGTATTATAAGTTCTATTTTTGTGTCAAGTTATATATTTATTGAAACTTCATTAGTGTGCTGTCCATAGAAGTACCTTCATAAAAATACGAGTTAGCAGTTACTCAGTTGTAGGTGAAGTAAAGGAGAAGGTCACTAGACTGTAGTACTAGTAAATAGGTTTTTCTTGAAGATTCGGCACTCTTCTACTCAAGAACTCTTCGCTGTGACTGTCCTGGCTACCAGAGTTCTTAGTGCCAAATTTGATGCCCATGATAGTTGAGTTAATTGATCTTACAGTGGGTTTCATTATCTACCTTTTGCTTCATGATTTATGATTTATTCTTCTGTTTGTGTATCTGTGTCTTTTTTAATAAATTGACATCTTTTTTAGTCGAAGGGAGTATAATTAATAAAACTACTTTGCACTTGATTATTTCTGTGTGTAGAAATTATTAGAGTTGGTGACAATAAGAAGATTCATCAGATTGAACTCATTCCAAATGATCAGCTTGTCGCGGTGATCTCAGGACGAAATCGTCATGTACGACTTTTTCCTATGTCAGCTTTGGACGGGCGAGAGACAGATTTTTACAAGCTGGCAGAAACTAAAGGGTGTCAAACTATAACTTCTGGAAAAGTGCGCCATGGAGCTCTAACATGCCTGTGTGTGGCTATGAAAAGGCAGGTCCTCTGTTACGAACTATTTCAGAGCAAGACCCGTCACAGAAAATTTAAGGAAATTCAAGTCCCGTACAATGTCCAATGGATGGCAATCTTCAGTGAACAGCTCTGTGTGGGATTCCAGTCAGGATTTCTAAGATACCCCTTGAATGGAGAAGGAAGTCCATGCAGTATGCTCCATTCAAATGACCACACACTGTCGTTTATTACACATCAACCGATGGATGCCATCTGCGCAGTTGAGATCTCCAGTAAAGAATATCTGCTGTGTTTTAACAGCATTGGGATATACACTGACTGCCAGGGCCGAAGATCTAGACAACAGGAATTGATGTGGCCAGCAAATCCTTCCTCTTGTTGTAAGAGTCTCTTTCTTATGGCTCTCTTGTTCCATGTTCTTCCTTTCTTTTTCCTTCTACTTCCTCTACCTGTAGTCATTGTTAATAACAGGCTTTTAAAAATCATTGTTAAGGTTTTTCCTAAACACTTCATTGTTTTTGCAAAGTAATCATATTTACTTAGGCTTAGACAAACAGGATCAACGTTCACATGTGCTGCTTAAGAGGAATGTTTTTGTGCTATATTTTACTGAGTTGGATTTTCTTATCCCATGTTATTTATTGAAATAACTCTAAATCTCTTCATTGTGCCCCAAAATACAATGCTGTATCAGCAGTTCACAGGACTTTTTCTTGGAAAAGTGAATTGTTTGATCAGTCATACAGAGGTATAATGTAGCATCTATAAGCAATGTTACTCAGTTTTATATTTTAATTTAGATAAATTAAAATTGTTTATTTCACTCTGAAGAAATGCTAAGACATTAACATATAATTGAATACTTTTATTGTTAAATAATAATTCAGTTATTGAATACATGCAATTTCACTGTATGAGTTGTCTCAGTGAGCAAAATAGACACACTCTATGTTTGCAGAGCATAGAGTACAGTAGAAAAGATTCATGTAAAAACAGTTGTGGTAGTAGATATAAGTTCCACGACAGCAGAGATAAACTACCATGGGAGAGATAGAATTTTTTCAGAAAATTTACGGAAGTCATGTATAATGTCCAGTGGGTGGCAGCCATTGTGAAGCACTCTGTGTCATGATTTCTAAGATACCTGATGGATAGAAGGAAGTCCATACAGGTTTGCCACTCAGACGAGTATGTTCAAGGAGTAGCTAATCCAAACTACCTTCTTTGCAAAGGAAGATGCATGGGTATCCTTAAATACTGATAGGAAAGAACCACCAGGAAAAGATTGCCTTATCTTAGAAATACAGAAAACACAGTAAGATCCCCAAGAAGGCCAAAGAGGATGGAATTTATAACACAGAATTATTATTTGGGGCAGAAGGTATAAAACCTTTCCCATCTTAAGAAGACAGAGGAGGAACGATGGGGTTGAGTCCCATTAAGTGTAAAGTACAGGGGAAGAAAATTTAGGAGGACAAGAAATACTTATTGCAGAAATATTAGGAAATCTAAATTTAAAAAATGAAAAAAAAAGTCTTAATCTCAACCCACCCAGATTTAACTGTTTTTAATGTTTTATTTCTTCTTAAATACATACTCTTAGCTATGGCACAATATGTAGAATGAGTGTAGCTGACTTACAATAATTGTAACTGACTTATAATAATTCAGAGTATTCTAACGTAGAGTAAGAGTTGAAATATCTGATTTGATTTTTTATAGTTTTGCTAGTAATCAGTCCATAACCTTAGTTTTGCTATTGGCTTGTGTCACCATTAATATTCAGTCTTCGAACCAATAGATATTGAATATCTACCCTATTCACATAACTATGTTCAGGTGCTTTACCACACATTTTTAACTGGGTCTAGAACACTTAGCCTGAAGATTTCTGCACTGTTTAAGTTTGTTTCATTGTTAGTAACTACTTTAAAATGTAATAAAACCTTTTTATTTGGCTAATGTTGACAGAAGTCTTCGGTATTATAAGTGCTATTATAATCTGAACGATGGTGTGCCAATTCTTTACGATTTATGCTGTGTTTCAGAAATGCTTGGATGTGGGTCTTACATGATAAGAAGATCTGGGAGAGTTTCCATTATACAGTTACTTAGGTTAGAACTTTCAAATGTTTTGGGCTTAATACTTCAAAATAATCAGCAAACTGTTACTTCTTTCCTTCCAGGTTACAATGCACCTTATCTCTCAGTATACAGTGAAAATGCAGTTGATATCTTTGATGTGAACTCCATGGAATGGATTCAGACTCTTCCTCTCAAAAAGGTAATTTCACATTAAAATACAGCTGATTAGTTTTATGATAGGTAGCTCAGCACCATGTTATTTTTATTACATTTAGTTTCTTTATGTTGAACTGGGTGTGGTGTCCCAAGCTTGTTATCCCAGCACTCTGTGTCTGACACAGGACGATCCCAAGTTTGAACCCAGGAGATTAGCAAGACCCTGGCTGAAAATAAAAAATAAGTAGGTCTGGGGATATAGCTTAGTACAAAGGGAGTCAATCAAATCAGTTAATCAGGTATGATTGGTATGATGCACAGCTGGAGTATATCATACAATCTAAACTGTCACTGTTATCTTCTGCTTTTGGATTAAGGAGCTCTGGAGGAGTGTTGATTATTATTAATTATATAACATTTTCACATAATGTTACATGGTATTTAATCCCGTGAGGACAGATTTCACCCACTAGAAAAGTGATTAAATTTAGAGCTAAACTGTGTTTGGGTATGTCGTTATTTAAAGATTGAGAGTTCACATATCCCTAATAAAACTTACTTTCCACTAACATTTTTCTGTTTCCATAAGGTAAAGCAAATTTATACAAGTATAAAACTGCTATTTTGCAAAAATGAAGAGTAATAACTTCATTTGACTGTATGTAGTACTCATAGCATGTGAATCATTAATTGAGAGGCAATTTAGAAGACTAGGTAAAAGAAAGTAGCCAAGATTATATTTCTTTCTTTCTTTCTTTTTTTTTTTTTTTTTTGGTACCAGGAGTCAGACTCAGGACCTTGCACCTGCCAGGCAGGCGCTTGTACTGCCTTTGCACTGAGCTTTCCACTGAGCTATATCCCAGGCCCCTCCAAGATTATATTTAAAATGTGGCCCAGTGTAAAACTACTTCAGTAGTGAAAATGCTCTTGTATACTTTGCCACATATGAGGCATAACCAAAATACATGGTGAATGTTTGATTACAGTAAAGGATACGTTGCCATTAATTCCCTTCAAAATGCTCTCCCTCATTTTGAAAACACTCATCCCATCATTCTTGCCACTTACTGGGAGCAGGTCTGGAAGTCCTCTTTCGTGACTTTCAGAGTATGGTTTAAAAAACACAGTGAATGCTGCTGCCCAGTGCCAATTGAAAAGGAGGCTTTTGAAAACATTTAAGCGTGTCCTCATCCACCTTACTCACCAAATCTGGCACTGTGTGATTTCTGACTTTCCCCAAGTCAAAACGACCATAAGGGTAGACGTTTTGAATCAATTCAGGATGTTGAGGCAGCCACAGCAGTCCAAGTAAAGACACAAAAGAGGACTTCAGAACTGCCACAAAAGTGGCAAAAACAGTGTGCCAAGTGTGTTTGAAGTGAGGGAGAGGAGTTTGAGATGGGGATTAAGGACAAACGTCTTTCACTGTAATCATTTTTTAAAATTTAAACATTCACCCTATGTTTCAGGCAGACCTAATGCAACTAAAATACCCTCTGCTTTGTAAAGTTGGGTAGTCTACAGCCTGTTTTTGTTTGGGTTGGGGTTTCTTGTTTTTTGTGGGTTTTTTATTTTTTTGTCATTTGCCTTCACTCACTGTGTTTCTAAGGTTCACATACATCGCTACATGCACTACCTACAGTTCATTGCCTTTTTCTACACTGTGGGGTGGATATGTCACTGTTTATTCAGTGATTGGCAGACACTGGAATTATTCCCTAGCTTTTTACAGTTGTAAACTGTATGTCTTTTGTGTAGGAGTTTAAGTTCTAAGCCTAGGAACAGAATTGATGAGATGCACGGAATGTAATTGTTTGTCTTTGTGAGAGAATATTACTGTATTTGTCAATATGATAGTACCAGGTGATATTCCCATCAACGACATGTAAGAGTTTTTAACCCATATCTTAAGACTTGCTATTGTCAGAATTCATAGTTGTGTAGATAGGTATAAAGTGGTATCTCATTGAATTATTAATTTACATGTCCCTGATTAACCATGTGGTTGGGAATCTCTTACATATTTATTCATCATTCGTATTTCCTATTCCATGAAATGCCTTGTCATTTTGCTTATTTTTTTCTCTTGACTTTGTCATATTGTTCTTCTTGAGCTTTTGTACTTCACTATATAATGTGGTCCCTGAGCTAGAAGTGGACCCTGTTTGTGATCTATCTATGGTATTCCCATTTATGTTGTGTTTTCCTGAATAGAAGTTATTAATTTTACTTTAAACATATTTCTCTCCTTTAGGTTTGTCTTTTTTCTCTTCTTTAGGAAGCTTTCCTATCTCATGATCATCTCATGATCATTTTCTACATGTTTTAAAGTTTTGCTTGTTATATGTCTGTCTTTAATACATTTAGTATTGGTTTTTCCTTTTTCTTTTTTTGTATATGGCCCAAAGCAGGGATTTAATTTTATTGGTTCCAGATAATCAGGTGCTACACCATCATTTGCAATAAACCTTTCTTTTCATAGTCATCTGGACTTTCTTCTCCATCATACATGGGCATTTAGTAGTTGGCGATAAGAATTCATAAAACAGCTGTGTTCATATCTCCTGAATATAATTATTTGCTCACTAATGGCTTTACAAAGTCAAATTTAAGGTTTAAATGTATTTTGACATGATTTTATTTATTTGCCCAGGGTATTCTTTCTTCAAAATATTATCAATTTGTTCAAATTAGATGCTACTGTACCTTCCCAGACAGAATTATTATTTCTTGTTGATTTTTTTCCCCAAGAAGACTCTAATTTAAAGTAGATACATGAAAGGTCTTAACAGTTGTGCTTTATAAATAGATCAAAAGTTGGTCATTTAAACTGGGCATGGTGATGTTTGCCTCTAATCCCAGCACTTAGAAGGCTGAGGCAGGAGGATCACTGCGAGTTCCAGGCCAGCCTGGGCTACATAAGTGAGTTCAAGGCCATCCTGAACTGCATAGCAAGACCCTGTCTCAAAAAGACAAAAAAAAAAAAGTTTGTCATTTAAGTCTTGAAGGTTTTATTGAAATACTAATTTTATTTTTTACTATTTTAGGTTCGACCTTTAAACAGTGATGGATCATTAAACCTTTTAGGGTTGGAGACAATTAGATTAATATATTTCAAAAATAAGATGGCAGGTAAGAAAATACTTGTATTAACTGGAAAGCTTCAATGGAACTATTCTCTCTCAGCTGACTTCCCAAGGCCACATGAATAATAAGTGCCAAAGTACAGATAGAAACTCAAGTGTATCTTACTCCAGAGTGTGTGATCTTGGTGATTGTCAAACTCCTAATATATTAAGATGAAGTGTTGAACAAAAGTGACTGTGTTTACGTTTTACATAGCTGTATAAGCAGAATATCTGATTTGGACATACCTTGTTATTTCTCTCAGAAATATCTAGGTAAGTAGAGAAGGTATAGCTGAGCTTGTCTTCTGTACTTTTAATACCATAGAACCTAACCAAAATTAGCAGCATGAAACTGTGGATACTCACCCAGAGTTCCAGCTGGTACTTTAGGAATCCACCTCCAGCCAAGGGCACCTCTAGCAGGGGATTTAGCACTTCTCACGTGCTGACAATGAACAAGAAGCAGAAGAAAGAGGAAAATCAGAGAGTGCCCAGAATCAGGGAGGGCGTGGAACCCTCAAGGTTACAGGCAAGAGAACTGCATTTAGACAGTGATGAAGCAGTGGGACGATGTTACTCCGGTGATTAGACACCACACGCAACCCGCCAGGGAGACTGACCATGTGGAAGTAAGTATTTTCCATCAGTATAGGCCTGAGCAGTCAGAAGCTCTCTTTTAACGAATGTTGTGCTCTTTTCTATATAATAAAATCATTCTCACTTTATAGCAACAGATTTCTGCCTCACTGAGGTGTTCATAAATTTCTGATCTTTGTAGTGAATATGTTTAATAAAGATACACTTATGGTATACTTTGTATTTAAAATAACATTTGAAATGAATGAAATGTAAGTGAAATCGTGCCATAAGGAAACATAGGAAAAGGTTATACCAGTTACCTGTAGGCAGTGCGATTATCTTAGTGCTTCTCTCCCCCTGCCATATTCCTCCAATAAACTTTGGTTTATTTAAAAAAAATCCATCAAAAGTTTTTTTTTTTTTTTTCATTTTAGTAGTAAAATAAACAAATTGGCTTCTGGTTCAGTGGTTTGATCCATACCCCAGCACTGGAGGTTTCTTGGTATATGGGCTTAGTGACTGAACGTCTGCTGAGAGGATATCCCAGTATGACTTGAAAAAGGACATTCAGATTTTAGCCAAGATTCCCACCTGGATGGATTTATCATGAAGCTAATGAAATTGAAGGTTAAACTTCTAAGACCCTATAGTTAATTTTGTATTTTGTTTCTTAGAGGAACTCCAAATATTTGCGTAAGATTGGATCTACCCTGTTCTCACTTCACTGTAGTAATCATAAAATATGTCTACACTCACATTGTGTCTATGGGACAAAACCTCTTCCAACTTGTCTTTTCCCAGGCTTTCATCTGTCTACTTCAGGCCAGGAATAGAGATAGAGCTATAGAATGGACACCTGACAAGATTGCGATATGGTTGTCTTATCCTTCGAAAAACGAAGGAAATCCTGTTCCAAGGGATCCCTTCTGTTTTCTGCTTGTTGCTTTCTCCTCCTTCTCCAGGAGGTGCAGCTTCTAGCTGTCCCAGATCTCTCACTGCCACCATAACTCACCAAGCGCTGCTTTGCTCTCATAATCCCCACATTCCGGAATCGTGTCACACATTCTCATCCTCTTTAAAAAAAATCTATCCTTTTAATGTTTGTTGCTGGCAAAGTAACCTGGTTAAACTACATGATCCCACAGTAAGAAAGGTTGCTTTGTTGCTAATCATCTGTTTTCATTTGCCATAAAGTCCATGTGACTTCTTTGCACATCCTTCACATTTCAGGTTTTCAGTGTTAAGAACTTCTAAAGATTGACTTTTCTCTTTTTCCTTGTCTTTCTTAGGTAATGACATAACTATCATCTATTATGGATATAGTTGTCTGTTTTCTTAGAATATGTTCACAAAGCTGTAAGGATTTCCCTGGCCAACAGTTTACCCTTAATTATTACAACTGAAATAGAGTCATGCGTGGTGACCCCTGTAATCCTAGCCCTGGAGGACCGAGGCAGAAGGATTGGGTTTGAACACAGCCTAGGCTATAAAGCAAAATAGACATTGAGTTGCTAAAGATGCACAGTTAAATATCATTAAAAACTCTCAAGGTTAGGAGAGTGCAATAGCAACAGATTCTTGTCTTCAGTAAAGGAAAATAGTGAAAACAATTCCTTATTCCACATCTCAATAGATTAAATCTTGCAATGAATGTTTATTATGTAAAGATAACTTTAATTATTATTCATATAAATAATTTGTCATGTATGCCTGATAATTGTGCTTATTAACAGCAGCTTTTGGGGATAAGGGGTGTGTAGCTAAGTGGTAGAGTACTTGCCTAATACACTGAAGGCCCTGGGTTCTGTCCCCAGTGCAAAAAAAAGAAAACTTACAATGGTAGCTTTTGAACACACTGAAACTATTACCTGGAGGGGAAGAAAAAAAGTGTAGGCATGAGGTGGCCAAAGTGATAGGACAACAGCTACAGTTTTCTTCTAGCAAAATTGTGTCATCTTATGTTTATAATAAAATAAAAATGAAAATGTATTTTTAATGTTTAACATAAGCATATATCTATATACAGTTGAATTGAAAATTTGTGCTTGTGTACTGTAACTTTCAATGTACAACTTACAAATCATAATTGTATATACTTATTCAGTTGATTCTACTGTTATAGAAAAATGGATAAAAAGTATTTTAGCAATTTAAACATCACCGTTATTTTCTGTAATTGTTTTAACAGAAGGGGATGAACTGGTAGTTCCTGAAACATCAGATAATAGTCGGAAACAAATGGTTAGAAATATCAATAACAAGCGACGTTATTCCTTCAGAGTCCCAGAGGAGGAAAGGATGCAACAGAGGAGGTAGATACTTAATTTTATATTTATCATCCATCCATGTTTCCTGCATCTGAAGAACTATCTAGTGTTCAGTATTACATTTTACTAAATGTTCAATGTTACAGTTGAACTATCTGGCAGTAATATTACATACCTGAAAATGTATCATTTATGTATGATTGAAAACTGCAGGGCTGAGGGGATAACTCAGTGGTGGCATCCTTGTGTAACATGTGGGTTCAGTCCCTAGCACCACAAAAATACTGCAAAAATGAATGCAGCCTATAAATGTAATTTTAAATAATACTCCCAAAGTTTTGGGGATACACTGGATCAAATACCATATTTTGATTCACTTCTGTATGTATATAGAATAGTTAGAATTTTAGAAATGTTTACCTTTTTATAATATAAACAGAAATCATATTTGTACATACAGTAAACCTGTATATGTTTAAGAACGCCAGATTAACTGTTCTCTTTATGAGCAGATCTCAACTGTATGCAAAAACATTTCTAATTTTTTTAATATATGTACAAAATGTTCAGAATTATATATAAAGTAAAACACATACTAGTTCATTGATATATAAATATTATAAAAGGACCCTTTTGGACTGGGAATGTAGTTCAGTGGTAGAGTATTTGTCTAGCATGTGCAAGGCCCTGGATTTGATCCCTAGCTGTAAAAAATAAAAATAAAAAATAAAAAGGTCCCTTCTCATTTCCCACCTAAAATCATGATATTTCATTTAAAATTAAAAGACAAAACATTCTAAGGAAATGCATTATTAACTGAGTATATTGTCATTCTAATTATACCCTAATTAATACAATTTTTTATTTTTAAATATTAAAATATAATTAATTTTTTTCTTAACTTATCTAGCTTGATAATAGAAAAAGTATCTGAACAGGTGTTTGTCTTACAGGGAGATGCTACGAGATCCAGAAATGAGAAATAAATTAATCTCTAACCCAACTAATTTTAACCACATAGCACACATGGGTCCTGGAGATGGAATACAAATCCTGAAAGACCTGCCTATGGTAAGAAAGAAGGAGAGAGAATAGACTTGAATACATACATAGACTGCACAGGCTATATTAATATAATAAAATGTTTCTCAGAGTCTGTCACAATATGTTTAAAATGCATAAACACATATTTGATGAAAAAAATAAAATTTAGACATCTGTCAAAAACCAGAGAAATCATATCCTTCCATACCCTAAGAAGTTACTATTGTTGATAGAAGAAAGTACCATACTTACAGAGACTGTATCCCAAGTCACTAAAATTTCACTAAGTTCAGGACGGATATTTGGCCTTTTTCTCCCAAGAGATCCAAATTAGCATGGTCACTAATAGTCATGCTTCTCAGCTAACTGAAGTTGAATCTTTTTCCTTTGTCCAATTACAGGTATATCACCTAGTAAACTGTGCATAAAAAGCACAACAAAGGGCAACTGTTGTGTTTTAACAATATGGATCGTGTCGTCAGACCCGTTATGTTGCACTTGAGACAGTAGTCTTAAGTGCAATTAGCTAATTATCTGGGTTCTGCTTGTTCTTAACATTTCACTTCAGTAAACTTTTAAAACTTTAGTATGACCCTTCTGAACAATAGAGATAGTTGTCAAGATTTGTATAGAATTTTAAGTATAATTTATATTTAATGGAAATTTGGAGATGATTTGTGAATCTTGATCTAAATCTCTAAGGAAATCTGGTTTTTCTTTGTTGGGGGGGGAGGTTCTTTTTTTCTTTTTTTTGGTTTCTTTCCAGTACCAGGAATTGAACTCATGACCTCATGCTTGCCAGGCAGGCGCTGTGCCACTGAGCTAAATCCCCAGCCCGAGAAATCTGTTTTAAATTAACCATATTATCAACACTACTGTGATGAAGAGCTGCAAGAAAAATAAGTAATAAAGTTAGATGTGCAGTCAGATTTTTAATTTAAAAATTAACTTATAAAGGGCATTTTCCTTTTATTTTATGGCAAGAAAAAATTAAGTCTGCATTCCTTTGTGCCTGAGTACTTTGCTGGAAATATCCCAGTTAACAAGCTGTCCTGCTTTCTTATTTTTTTTTTCATGAAGAGATTATTATTATATGGTTATAGTAATGTACCTTCCTTTATGGAGTCCGTATTATTCACAATAGCACTTTCCTTATTGAATAGGGATTTTTAGTCCACATATTAACAGTATTTTCCTTCAGGTGGAGTACCAGGAATTGAACTCATGACCGGTGGAGTAGGTGGAGTAGTTCCAGCTGGGCATGGTTGCGCATGCCTGTAATCCCAGCACTTGAGGGGCTGGGGCAAGTTTGAGGTCAGCCTGGGCTACATAGTGAGTTCAAAGCCAGTCTGGAATAGATAGCAAGACCCTGTCTCAAAAAAGAAAAAGAAAAAAGAAAAGATGGAATAGTTTCAGTACAATATTTAATAAAGTGTTCCTGTGCTTGTTGTTCTGCTGTTATCAGATGAAAAATCGATTTCCTGATGTTCCAGAGCTGTTGTAGGCTTCATGCACAATAAGAGTAGGCATCGTGACACTAAAACAGCAGATTCCAAATATTGTAAGAGATCTTGCCAGAGTACCCCTCCTGTACTTTTCTCCCCTCGCCATACTACTCCTTAAACGACATCAGTAATTTTTGTTTAAACTATTTTTATTAACAAATTTAGGTAAAATTTCCCGAAGGTTCACCCCCCACATGGCTCCGTAGCACGTGACCCTCTGTGCTGGCTGCTGATTCTAAGTCAACCTTTGGAGTTTCAGTATTTGTTGTCACCTGAATTTTTTTAACCCATGCCCACCTTATTGGTTCTTTTAGGTATTAACACTGATTTTTTTTTTTAACTGTTGCAGTTTAATCCAGATTTTAATGTGCCTCCCATCCCTTTGATGTTTTCTTATCTTGTAAGCGCCTTTGTGTTTCCAGGTTAAGAAGCTGGTGTAAATTTTTGAAACCTGTTTCTTCACCTGGACATGTAGTTTGCATCAAAGATTGTATGTGTCAGCATTCCTGTTACTCACAGTCAGGTTATTTTCACATGATTTTCTCATTTCACTGAAATGATACATGAGCTGGGGTTTTATAAACATCCATTTACTTACCTAACAAATGTTTCTTGAACGCTTACTGTTACTGTCTGCCCAGGACCGTGCCTATCTGAGGGTACACATTGGTAAACAACACAATAATCAGCATGTCTGAATATAATAAAAATAGTGTGCATGTCTTTCTCTGTAGACGTACCTATTCATTGCAAAGTTTATGGTCTTGTATGTATTTTCAGACTTTGATATGTTCTTTCCACTGAAAAGGAATTCTGAACAGTTTCCAAAACCTAAAGATGAGTTAAATTCATCTATTAACATATCTAAGAGCTTTCAAGTACCAAAGCCACGTGTTAGCTGGCATCCGTGCGAAGAACATGTGCCCCATTTCATGTTTCAGCTCACTCAAATCAGTATCGTTTTCCTGTGAAATACTTCTGAGCGTGGAAAGCTTATTAAATCCCTTTAAAAGCTAATACCATTTCTTTTATATGAAATGATCCTCCAGTAGTATTCTGTTGTTTCTTAAATTTAGAAAGGGCAATAATCTAAAGGAGTCGTTGTATTTTCTTATGTCCTATGTCAGAGGTGAACCGTTTATTTGTATCTTAGTGAGCCAAAGTACATTAGCAGATAATGTAAGGCTTATATGGTTGTCATATAAAAATGTACTGAGTTGGTTTTCTTGAAACTTTTTTTATGATTTATATCATTCTATAAGATCTAGTGATAGAAGACAGATTTTTTTTCTCTAACTGATGCTAAAATAACATTTTGCTTCTGTACTTCCAGCAAAGTAAATCTTGTCCAGTCCTAATATTGTTAACAAAATCTAGCTCAGTGTCCTCTTGGGCTTCCAGAAGTAATTTTTCTTCTTGGACTGGGGTATAGTTCAGTGGTAAAATACTTGCCTACTATGTGTGAAGCCCTGGGTTCCATCCCTAAAACCTCCTCCACGAGCAAAAAAAAAAAAAAAAAAAAAGAAAACCAAGTAATTTTGCTTCCTTGAAATCAAAGTTACATACCGTTTTCCATCTTTTTGTTGCGAACAACATGAGAAAGTGCTGTACTGATTTACTCATATCTCTAAAGTAAAACAGTATCTTGTATGGAAGCTTTTCTTTTAAGCCTTGATAATTTCTGAGATATTTTTACAAAGCAGGCTCAGCTGCACTCAGGAGAACAGAAATGTTGTGCTGCACTCAGTCAGCACTGTCTCCAGGAGTGTCTCGTGTTCACCCTCGGCCTCTAATGAAGGGACCCTGGGTTTAGAATCAGTTACTCTTTTTTTTTGGTTTTTCTCTGGTACCGGGAACCGAACTCACGACCTTGCGCTTGCCAGGCAAGCGCTTTTGCCGCTGAGTTAAATCCCCAGCCCCCTAGAATCAGTTACTCTTCACAGACTGAACCTCACAAATCCCAGATATGAAAAAGTGCTTGGCTACTGATTGGTGCTCCCTAAAGAATCAAAAGTAGTTACTTCATCTGACAATAAGAGGCCTTGACTTTAAAGGCTTTTTTTACTGTATCTTTGGTATTAACATTATTCCTTTTTTAAAAAACAAACCTGGACATTGAGAGAAGACTTCCCTGACACAAACTTGTTCTTTTAGGTGTCTGTATGGAAATAAGCTTGTGCTTAAAAGTACACCAATAATTAGTCTATCCTGTAGGTACTATTTTTGTTGCAGAGGAATGGGAATAATAAAAGCCAGCACATATCACAAGCCTATAAATCTCGAAATACAGCACTAGGAAATGTATTTAGTGGTTTTAGATCCTAAAGAAAATTTCATAACACACCTAGTTAAAAGCTACTGTAGATTTTGTAACTGGTTTTTGCTTTTTCTGTATTTAATTTTGGTAGATTTTTTGCCACGTTTTGATTGTATCACATAAGAAAATCCCAAGCAAAACTCTGAAAGTTTCTTTGCATCTTTAAAAGTCCAGCTTTTACTCATTGAACTATAGTAATAAAAGAATAAGTTTATAAGAAGAGTGATTGTTTACAAATCAGCTGTTTCAGTGAGTGGCAAGAGGATGACAAAATTTAACTTCCTAAGTCCTAAAAGTATTTCATTAAGGATTTGGTACTGATGTAAGAAACTACTTTGTTTTTTTCTGTGTGCATGTTGTCTGAAATGTCACGTGTAACTATTGAATCCATCGTCGCCTTATCATCTTTTTCTTCTTTTCTGTTGTTTTTGATAGCCAGGTTTCCCTTATCCATCCCCTCATCATCACTCCGGTCTGATCTCCTCTCCGATCAACTTTGAGCACATCTATCACATGACTGTTAATTCTGCTGAAAAATTTCTCTCTCCTGATTCCATAAACCCCGAATATTCCCCGTCTCTACGCTCTGTCCCTGGTACACCAAGCTTTATGACTCTGAGGGTATGAACAGCTGAGTCAGGTGTTAACTTTTACTAACCATGTAGAGGTTTCCTGTTGCCTGGCCTAATAAGTAACACCGCCAAAATGCTGTGAATGTTTTGTGAATGTTTTCCTTTGACCTGTTTCTCTTCTGCCAGACCTCTCTTACACTTTCTCTTCCTTCTCTGTCTTTCTCTTCCTCCTCTTCTCATTTGTTTAATTTCTTCTTTTAAAGAAAAAAAGGGAGAAATGAGGATTTCAGTTTTTTACTTTTGAAGTAGTATTAAGGTTTATCTCTGTTTAATAAGAAATTTTCCCATTACGGTATTTCCCATTACACATACCATCATAAAAAAAAAAAAATAACCTTTGAGTGGCTCTTTATTTTGTTAAAGCAAAGAGAAAACGGATGCCTGAATCTCTGAGTTTTTTATAGCTCATTATCCTATCACCAGTACAATTCAGATAAATTTTTTATATTTGATGAGATTGAAGTCTGGAGGTGTGCCTGTCCTAACTACAGTAAACCTCCTTTTAAGAATTTCCAGAGTATTGTATTACATTCAGAGTAAGGTGATGTATTCCAAAATACATTCATAACAGAAAAATTGCCCTTATGTACAGGTTTACAAGTCATTTAGTTACTGATATGCATTTCATTCCAACTAGGGTCTAAAAAAAACAAAGAGAAAAAAGCCATGCAGCATTCTGAATGTGCCATCCGTTCCATTCATTTCCTTCCGTTTAGCCCTGTCTCTTTAGTAGTAGCTTTGCAGTGAGATAGAGAGTTGCTATTGAACTGAATAGCCATGTTTTTATCAAGTAAAAACATGCTTGTATTAACTTCAAGGAAGTTAGTTTTACAGATAATAAAATATTTGGATTATATCACAGAGACTCATTCCCATAATGCCCCCTGGCTTAGAAAAATAGTAGCACCAATTTTTTTATTTGTATAGGTAGTTAAAATATTTTTCCAGTAAGAAAGTTATCTACAGGATAAGAGATTTTTGTTTGTATTATAAACTTTCAACTGTGGGGCTGGATATATAGCTCAGCAGCACAGCGCCTACCTGGCAAACACAAGGTCCTGAGTTCAATTCCCAGTACTAAAAAAAAATTTTAACTACGTGTTCAATGTCATTATCATTGACACTAAATTGTAATATCACTTCAGTTTCTTGTTTGACAAAATTAACTATGGCAAAATAAGCCTTAGTTTGTTTGTTAACACTTTGCAGACAGTAGATTCTAGCAGAATGCTGTATAAATCAACCAGGTGCTTTCCATATAAAACATGATTCCAGTGTTATGTTAGTTGTCTTTGAGTAAATCACTATACCATCAGCAGAAATTTTACCCTAATCTTAAGCATATTTGTTACTAGAAAGATCAAAAAACTTAAATTTCTTGTTGCTTTCTAATGTTTGTTTGATTTTGATAGACTAAATAAGCTTTTTAAAACATTTTTCTCTGTATAATTCTTTTATTTAACAATGTTACTAAGAAACTGTTTTATAAGCTTAATCTTTGCCATTTATTTAAGGTAGACAGTTTATAGAAAAGGACAACACTAGCACGTTGTAAGGTTTATAGAAAAATCCAGACCAACATCTGCAGCTTGAACCTGCTCCTCCCATTTCTTCTGTGCTCTCTTGGGCCGCGCTGTACACAACGCTTGTGTCTCACAGGGTTGCTCCTGTACCTGTGAAATCTCAATTAACAGCATTGACTGTTTCAGATGTAAATTACTTATTTTCTTAGAGGGGAAAAAAGTAAAGCATTTGCTTTGAGTAAATACCACACTAAGAATTACATGGACTTGGCAGATTTGGGATATGAATCAAATGACAGTGGTTGAATTTGGGGCCAGCTGGCCGGCCAACTTTTAGTATGTGTGCCCTTTTAAAATGTATGGTTCGGGCTTTTTAAGTGGTATGGTATCAGTGCTTGTTTGCCCCATTGCTAGCTTTGGCTCTGCCCTGGTGACTGGGCCACAGCCTTCTCGGTGTTTCAGGTGCGGTGGAAACACTCAGCACAGCAGAATCACTGGAGCCGTGGCTCATCCTTGGGGTCCCACGCTTACATGGCCGTGGAGAACTGAGGTTTTAGTTCTAGCTTGTATTATAGTTACAACGTTTTTTAGCTACACTGCTACATTTCTTTATTATTGCTTCCAGATAAGCTCTAAAGCCATAAGTATTTGTGCTCATTTCATTATATTCTGTGTTAAATCATAGAATAGTGACCTATTGTGGCAGTCAGGCATCTTTTGCTGTTAGCATATGAATCAGGTTATTTGAAGAATTGCCACAATTTCATTCTCTGATGCCCAGACATTGTTCTGCCCGAACAATACAAGTAAAATGGACTTTATATCTTTAAAACTCACGCAACGTACCCACACCCAAAAACACTTGTGATGTCAAGCTGGCAGTACAACACTATGTGTTCTACAGGAAAGATTATAATTCTAAATTCATGAACTGTATTACCACTATAGTTAATTAATTCCAATACTTGAAGAAGGAAATTAAGGTTGTGGATATAAGCCATGCATTTACTCAGCAGATACTTTTCAGGACCTATTTTGCATCCTAGAGATTTCTGTGGTCAGAATTGCAGTCACTATAAGAAATGACAAGATGCCTAAAGGAAGGAGGCTAAGAACAGAAGTGAACTGCACACTTCCTAAACAGGCAGGGCAAACTGGAGTCCCCTGAACCAGCCAAGGTCCTGAGGCGGGTGAGTCTGTGTGACTCACACAGGGCTAATTCTCTGTGTTTAAAAGGAAGAAGGCATAAGGACATTTAAGGAAATAAGTAAAATGTAACTTAAGCATATAGGCCTTTTCTCTTGCTGAATCTTGTAATGCATTCAGATAAGATTATTAACATTGACTAGCATAAGTCAGGAACATACCTAAGTCATATCATGAATACTATAAATATTGGTGTGGGCCAAGTATATGGATAAGTTTTCTGATCTATCCTCTTCTTTAAGCTACCAGAAGAAAAATCAGTATTTTATAAGCCCCAATTGATTAGAGAGGATTTACTGCTTTTGATTCAATAAAATGAGGCAGACACTTGTAACATTTTAAAGTAATAAGCTTTATGTCCTGTTGCATTTGAAAAAAAGCATGATACAGCTCTTGTGGCCAGATCTTTAAAAATTATGTTGGAAGGAAAGATAGGAATCACACCAAATTGATAATAGTGTCTGGTGAGTTCACAGGAAATGTTTTTTATTTATTTTATGATTTCATTATTGTATATATGGTCCACAATCCATGAATATTACCTTTAAAATCAGGCTAAAGCGAACACTTCTAATGATATAAGTACTTAGAAAACTACTACTTCATAAATACATTTTCCAATCACTTTTCATTAATCATAGTGGCCATGACGCCGGCGTGATTTTCTTTTTAAGTGTAGAAACAGTAAAGGAAGGCCATCCTCTCTCAAAAGAAAGTAGTATGTACACCCTGATTCCATTAAAATAACTGGCTTTCTTTAATAAATTGATCCTTTGGAAAAAGTCACAGAACTTGAATTTTGGGCTACTTTTTAATGTAATTGTTTTCATTGCATTTTCATTATAGAGCTATGTTCTTGTTTAATGTATGTAAAATTTGTGACTGCCCCTTCCCTGCAGAATTGCTGTTTTGATGAAACTACCGGGAAGGGTGAAATGGAAGCTACAGGTGGCCATACATGGTCCTGAGCAGAGCAAGGGGAGGAACTGCACATAGGTGGGCTGGGCCAGGTGCTTTACTTTTACCAGTATTACCAGTGTGGCCCTCAGAAAGGCCCCGTGCAATGGGTCTTATCCTCAGATACAGTCAAGGAAACCGAGGCTTGGAGTTGTATCAGCCAGGGCCTGCCAGCAGTAGACTATGCAGCACAGATGGGAATATGTGTGCTTCCCTCTCCACCTTGTTTACGGACTTCCAGCTGTTTCCCTGTCTCAGTGGTGGAAAGGGCGGGCTGTCAGAAAATAGGTACCATAGGCTAGTTATTTTTGTTGTCATTATTAGGGAAAAGCTAATAAGGAGTTAGAAGAATTTTCTATGTATATAGGTAGAGAGAGAGAGAGAGATTTATATAGAGATATATATTTACTATACTTTATATTGACATAGATATACAATGGTACCTCAGTTCATGAACTTAATGTATTTCACAATCCTGGGAAGGAAGGCCATGTTCATGTTTGTGCAGGAAAGATGGCCACAGTTGTGTTCGTCTCCTGATGCAGTTTGCAAACAAAACCAAAATTTGCCTGACACTTCTGTTTGCAAACCAAATTGTTTGCAAACGAAAGCATTCATGAACCGAGTTATCACTGTGTATTCCATGCATATAAATTCTGAGGAATCCAGATACTTTGAATCAGAAAATGCTTGTAGGAATTTGGGACTCTGTCCACACGTAGAGCATAGTGTAGGGTAAAAGAGATATTAATAATATGGTACATGTAGTTTGATAAAGAATATTGGAATATTTTTCCCCCTTCTGGACTTTGTTAGCCCCAACATCCCTCGTTTTAGTCGTACAAAATTGGACCAAAAGAGAAGTCTTCACACTCATAATCACTGGTTCCAGAGTGTCGCCCAAGTTGATGATTGTTGCAGCGCTGTGTTTCTGACACAGTAGAACATTGTCTTGGCAAGAATATAATCCCAACTGGCTTTCCTCAAATGGACTTACTGAACTATTATGAGTTTCCTAAGTAAGTAAAAATCTCACACGTAGCGAGAGCTTTACTTTCATTTTCTGCAAATGTCCATGTAATTCTACACTTCACTGTGACATCTAACCACATAATTTTACGTTCTGTTTTCACAACCAAAACATTATTTATTGATGAGTATTTCAATAAAAATAAGTACTTAATCCTTATTGGGTGAAATTTATTTCATTTTAGGTTTTTTTTTAACTTTTGTGTGTTGGAGGGAGTGTGGGATCTGCTTTTCTTTACTCAGTATCCTTCTGGTCAAGATTGTTTTATTGCTTGATAATTGTAGTGAAATGCAGACATCTCTGCCGACAAGAATTTCTTTCTGGCTGAAGAATGTACCTTTGTTTTGTGATTCAGAACCCTCGTCCTCAGGAAAGCCGGACAGTGTTCAGCGGCTCTGTCAGTATTCCATCCATCACCAAGTCCCGCCCTGAGCCGGGCCGCTCCATGAGTGCCAGCAGCGGCCTGTCAGCAAGTAAGTGCCCGGCTGTGGGAGACGCCTCTAAGCCAGGAAACCTGGCCGCCTCCTGCACTGCAGTTCCCGCAGGTCACTTACACATCCCCGCTACCTTCTTATTCAGCATTCATGGCAACAGTCACCCTCAGCCGTGTCTCACACCCTGCTGAGTAACAAGTGCACGTGATCAGAAAATAGCTCAAGAACCCTTCATCTAGTGTGCAGGCCGTGTGGGAGACAGTTGCAGCTGCAGATGGTGGTGGTGAGTGCTGATGGAATACGCAGGGTAGTGTCACAGAGGATGAGCAGGGATAGCTTTCAAGGGTGAACTCGTACTTAGGATAGCTAGGAAAACCATGCCACTCACTAGAGGCGGCATCGTGTTTGGGACATGTCAGTTAACTGAGAGAAGGCCAGGTGGCTGCATGGTAGTGGTAAGAGAATGACAAAAAAGAGTAGGGGAGGTGGCCAAGCGCCCTGTGGGGGACTTAGAGATCAAACCAAGAAGGTTGCATTTTAATCACAGTGCAGCAAGAAGCCTTGGGAGAACTTTAAGTAGGGAAGAAGCCTATGCAGTCTACATTTGTGACAGTTCTTCTGCCAGCTAAGTGGAGAGTGGACTGAAGGCAGGCAGGGGTGGACGCCCGTATCCGGGGAGCAGGTTCTGGGGCTGGTCCAGGGGAAAGCCCAGGAGGCTTAGAATACAGCAGGGCAGGAAGAAGAAAAGCAGGAGAGAAGGCAGTGGATTCTCCAGATGTTTTCAGAGGTGGAAACAGTAAGACTTTCTGAACCAGCTGTGAGCAATTGCGGCCATAGGTGATACCACTGGCTGCATCAGCTGAGGGTCAAGCTGGGGCCGGGGCAAGATACTCAGGCACATAAAAGGCCCAGGGTAGGAAAACAATCAGCACATTTGAGTAACTGAAAAGGAGCTGTGATGGATACAAGAACATACCCTTTAATCGTGAAAGCAAGCTAACGCCTCACCCAGTAAATGTCTGAGAGGCCCGGGAGACACCAGCTGCTCTGATACGGGGCCTGGAACTGCTTCCAAATGGCTCACACTATTTTTAGCCTCTCCTTTTCCCGCTTACCCTGAACTGCAGTATCTCTCTTCTACGCCTTTGTACGGGACCGTGAGCTAAGGGACAATAGAAAGGAAAAAATGTGCTCCATGGAGTGTTCATGTTTGACTGTGGTCAGGCGCACCTTTTTGCGAGGGAGAAGGAAAGCTGTGTCTGCCTAGGAAAGGTGCTGCCTGCTAAATAAAAGTGCACAGCGTTGTAACAGCTGCCTTCCTCAGAGTGAGGCGTGCACACATCTCGAGTGCCCTGTGATCTTTTGTAGCTCCTGGATGTCAGCAGTGAAAGTGTGGATTGTGAAATGATCCTGTAGCTTCTGGCTGGGGGGAGACCGTTCTTAGCCAGAGGTTTCGTTCCTGTAACTTTGCTGGGTGTGTGCTTTCCCAGCAGCGTGGCATTGCTGAGACGAGAGCCCACAGAAAAGCAGTCCCCATGTGTGTCCAGTGTAACCGCAGAGAAACCTTTCTGTGCTTCTGAACAGTGGATCTTTGAGAAAAACTACAGTATGCCAGGTTTATGCACCGCCTTGTGTTCTTGAACGATCTGAGAGACAGGCCGGCACAGGAGTCTTACAGCCTAGTCTCAGGGATGACACAGTGTCACTGATGCCAGGGGTGCACTCTGAGAAAGGTGGTGGGGTGATTCCTTGGTTGGGCAGGCGTCACAGAATGTCCTTTCACCAACAGAGACGGTGTGAGACCACCATTGCGTATGTGGTTGGTCCCTCATTGACTGAATGCCATTTTATGACTCATGATTGCGCTGTTTCTTTGAGGGAATGGACTGCATCAGTGTGTGACTATCAAGAGAACGTGGCCAACTTTGAGACTGGCAGGAATATAGGACCGAGTTTTGTCTTTTTTTTTTTTCTGGTACCGGGAATCGAACTCAGGACGTTGCACTTACCAGGCAGGCACTTGTGCCACTGAGCTATATCCCCGGCCCAAGACCGAGTTTTGAAGGAGTCTTCAACTGACACACAGAAAGTCAAGTGTATGAGATGCAGCTTTTTTGCCCTTACCTCCCCAAGTTGTCTGGAGCCAGTTTATAGTGCTTACTGCATTTAAAGACATAAAGGGAGACGTGACACCACCTTACTACTTCATACTTGTGTATTTGGACTGTGACTGGACTGGAGACACACAAGTACCTCATGATGTTCCGTGACGGAGCCAGGTGCTCTTCTCCCTGATGCCCAGAATTCAGGTTTCCTTTTTAGTATATTTTAGAAAGGAGTATGCCACGTGCTATGTTACATTCCTAGGAAGACCTGGGATAGTACTGACAAGCACATTAATATTTGTAGGGCAGAAATATGGACTACCCACATGATAAACAGGTAATAAGCATTCTTTATAAATAAAGCCTGCAGTCATCCTCCAGTCAGTTCAGATGAGGTTGTGCTATCACGTGGGTTTGGATCAAATGAAAAAAACCTTCTGGCATTCCAGGGTCTTGGGATTTGTGGGACTGCAGACAGAGGTAGGACCAGTAACGGAGCTCTGCTTAGAGGAACTGAATGAGAATCACAAGTTATGGCTGGTGACGTGGAAACTGCAGACAAGCACAAGCCCCTCGTGCCATCAGGGCCCTTCGTGCCTCAATCCTTGTTCAAAACTCTTTGTAGAGATGCCGGGAAATGCTGCCTGAGGAATTCCACGGGGCTTCTGCTATAAAGAGTGGCTCCTGCTGGCTTTAAGAGGAGCCCACCTCCTATAAAATGCTTCCAAGATGGCCAGTCCAGAGAGGGACAGGAAGCAACAGGGAACTCTGTTTTCCATCCCCACAGGGAGCATGGTGTCTTCCACAGCTGGACTCTGAGGTGCAACCAGGATTGCAGAGGCTGGGCTGAGTGTGGTCAAAGTCAGCTGGGCCTACACTTTCCGGATTGCCCTAGGCCCTTTTGTTGCTATACTATGACAACCCAACTTAGTTTTTTTGTCATTGTTGTTTTTTGGTTTTTTGAACTACTTGCTATGTAGTTTAGGCTGGCCTTGAACTCACTGCATAGCTCAGGCTGGCCTCAAGCACCTGGTGATCCTCCTGCCTCAGCCTCCCAGGGAGTCCAGCTATTATTTTTCTTTTCTTTCTTAAGGTTTGAGTGTACCTCTCTTTGGGAGGAAGGAGTCTGAAAATTGTAAAGTAACATTTAAGTGTACATATATGTAAAGCACTGGTGCGGGATCCAGTTTTCTTTTCTACAGATGATTACTAGGAAGGAGAAAGCCAGTGCAAGCAGGCCAAAGCCTGCTGCTGGCTCCTCCCCTCCTAGCCTGCCTTTCCTTCTACATCTGGTGACTGTTCTGTCGGTCCCACAAAAGTCCCGTTAAATAGAATTTATTGTATTTATAGGTCAGGGAAACTGAAATTCAGAAGGGTAAAACAACTTTCCTGAGGTAGCACAGTGGGTAAGGAGAGCACGTAAGTCTCTGGCAGTTTGTATTTTCTGTTCAAGAGGACAGAATATAAAAATAACTTCTACAGCTTTTCTAAAAAACTGAGCACTGAGCCAGTCATGAAATTAAAAGAAAAATCAAATAAAGATGGTGGTGCCTTCAAACAGGCTGTATTCTAAGGAAGGAGACCCACGTCAAAATAAGTGAAGAGTACATTTCCAAAGAAGCAGCACCCAGCAGAGACCAGCAGTGAGGGCCGCAAAGTCCAAAGGCTGGGTGGCAGGAGGGGCGCGGGGTGATGTGAGCTCAGTCCTCCGCCCTGAGATGCACTCGTAAGTCATGAGGGGAGCTTTCAAAAATCAAGTGGGGGGATTCTGCTCTAGTTGCTCAGGCCAGCGCCTAGGCACCGATTTTTTAAAGCACCATAATAATACAGTAGGTAGTTTACAGCCAGTGCTGGTAGTGTTGGCCCCTGCGAGAGGTCCATTGTGTGAGGAAGATGCAGGCCCTGGACTGCCGCCTGCCCAGGTGCTTATCACGGAAGCCAGGAAGGGGAGGTTGCGGCAGGAGTTAGCGAGACAGCCAGTCAGCAGGCTCCGGCCCGGTCCGCCTTCGTGCGCGCTTACAGGTTGCTGGTCACTAGGTGCAAGCGCTGTAAGTGGTCACCTGTTGGCATTTTCATTGAATTCTTAATATATTGAACAACGGTCTTTTAAATTAGCAAAAAGCTCAAAAATCCCACCCTACACCTTAGAGTTGTACTAAAATTTCAATACAGTCTTTTGGGACCAGTAATCCTAACACTGAAACTCAGCAAGATGGAAGCATTTTTTCGGCAAAACCTAAGGATGGCAGGAAATGTAAGAGTCTTAAGTGCTCACAGTACTCCACAAACGTCCAAGGGTTCGTTCTTTTCTTTCATGAATGCCTTTGGTCTCTGTTTTGTACCTCAACTCTAGGAACAACAGAATGATTTTTTTTTTCTTTTGGTTTTTTTCTGGTACCGGGAATTGAACTCACGACCTTGCGCTTGCCAGGCAGGCGCTGTGCCACTGAGCTAAATCCCCAGCCCCAAACAGTATGATTTCTGAAGAAACTCAACCTCATTTTGAAATCCCAGGCTTTGTGTCCTGTGGGGTGAAAGCGCTTGTTTTATGTTCTCATGTTTGTGAGCGTTAGTCCAGTGCCGATCCCGGGTCAGTTGGCGCCGGCCTCGGCGCGGGCTGTCCGCCTTCCGCACTCAGCTGTGTTCTGGTGAGGCCAGGAAAGGCAGAACCTGCATCTCTAAGGGTGGCAGCACACCACGGCAGCCACGACGGGGCAGTGAGGCTCACAAGGCAGCCCGGGACTGGACAGATGCTGTGAGCATTGTCCTGCGGAGAGCACTGCCTGCCCACAAGGAGTGTCCACAGCTGGAGTGTGACAGCAGCAGCTGCATGAGGCGGCGGGACTTGGTGGACTGAGGGGCCAGGCTGCGCAGGGAGGCTGCCGTTCGTCAGAGCAGGGGGCCTTGGGCTGGGGAGGGTGAGCTGGCATCTGTGCAACTGGGCATTTCCTGTAGAACTGTCCTCGTCTGCATACGTGAAGTTTTCCCTGAATGGCATCCTACAGGGTCATCCGCACAGAACGGCAGTGCGTTGAAGCGGGAGCTCTCTGGAGGAAGCTACAGTACAAAGCGACAGCCCATGCCCTCCCCGTCAGAGGGCTCCTTGTCATCCGGAGGCATGGACCAAGGAAGCGATGCCCCTGCCAGGGACTATGACGGAGAGGTGAGTGGGCGTGTGTGGCCAGCGGCCTCATCAGGAGGAGCAGAGCATTGATTCAGGGCACTCAGCTCCTTCACTTGGGCCTGTACTAGGTTAACTGTCAGCCAGGGGCAGCAAAGTTGTAAAACTACAGCTCTCCTGAAGCTGTTGAGACTTCGAATGGCTTTTGAATGAAGATGCCTACATCTCTAAAGACCTACAGAAAGGACTGAGCATTTGTTCTGTGCCTCTTAGCTCCCAAAGGGCAGTAAAGAAATCCCACGCTCTGGGAGGCTGAGGCAGGAGGCCCAGGCAATTTAGCAACATAGTGAGACCCTGTCTCAAAAAATATTTTGGCCAGGCGTGGTGCACATGCCTGTAATTCCAGCATTGGGAGGCCAAGGCTGGAAGACTACCATGAGTGTGAGGCCAGCCTGGGCTGCGCCGTGAATTCAGGGTCAGGCTGGACTATGTAGCGAGACCCTGTCTCATAATAAATAAAAAAAGAATGAATGAATGAAATTTCCGTATAGCTCAGTGTGGGGGCCCTGGATTCAATCTCTGGTCCTGCAAAAGGAAAAAAACCAGAAGCAGCTCCATGGCTCCTGCGGTCAGGATGACAGGTGGGGACCTGCTTCTCATCAGCGCTCTGCTCTGACCTTACAGGACTCGGACTCGCCGAGGCATTCCACAGCATCCAACAGCTCCAACCTGAGCAGCCCCCCGAGCCCAGTCTCACCCCGAAAGACCAAAAGCCTCTCCCTGGAGAGCACGGACCGCGGGAGCTGGGACCCCTGAGCTCCGGGTGCTCCGTCCCGCACCCCTCCACTGCCTCCCCCCACCTCCATCTCCGCCGCCCACTCGGCCAGAGCCCAGCAGCAGCAGCGGCGGGGTAGGGCGTGCAGTTGCTCACGGCGCTGGCCTGGCAGCACCACGCCCCTGGCGCACAGCAGCCGTGCAGGCCTCTTCTGCTGCGTCCGAGGCTGACGGCGGGTCATTCCTGCGTAGAGTTGCTTTCAGTCACATTTACTTCCCGGCCCCAAAGGTAGCTTGAGTAGGCAGACTACACAGTGTAATGTACGAGTGAGACTAGACAGGTTTGTGTTCACAGTAGCACCTCACTGTACCCTCAGAGCGCACCTGGGATTCCGCAGCAGGGGGACCCAGCCTGCAGAGGTCACTGCACACATCAGCTGATAATTGCCGGGAATCCCCATGAATCCTCACAGATTAAAACAGTGCATATTTTACTACAGTACAGAGTTTAAATAAATACATAAATGTAGAAGTTAAATGCTGAATGTATATAGTCAAAAGAAGCATCTTGTAATCAAAGAGATGGATGCATATACGAGAGCGTTTAATTTAAGAGATGTATTGTTTCTTGTCTGTTTCCCAGCTAAGTCACATACAGGGTAGAAAGGCTTCACGCTGACACTGGGAGAGGGAAAGGGGAAACCGGGGTCCCTGCGGTGCCCTGGCCTCACACTGGGGCCCTTAGGGGACATCCGGAGACACTGGCTTCGTTGACCGCAACCTGGGCCCCCAGAGTTGGAACATCGGAAACGACGTGAGCAGCAGCTTCAGAGGCACGCTCACCTCCACCTGGGGCATTTCCTTTTCTAGCGATAGAGTTAAACCACACTTCTGTTACGTTTTGGTATCTTCTGCAGTGCTGCACCGTCTGATTGAGCCCTTCCATCTAGAGGGAGTGTTGTGGCTTCTGAAAGTTCACACAAAGGTTCATAAAAGTGCTTTTTCTCCTGGGTGACAGCAAAGTGTTTGTCCCAGGGATGGGGGTGGCTTCTGAAAGAAGGGCCTGTTTCCTTGAGGGTAGGTAGGAAGTTCTTCAAATGGGCCTGGCAGAAAAGGCTTTTCTTACCAAATAATAGGAAACCTCAAAAGCAAGGACTTGAACAGCCTTAACCAAATACTCTTTCCTACAGCAGTGGCAAGTGGATGGGATGATCCCCCCCCTCCGGGGGCGGGCCACAATCAGGAAGTGACCCAGTGGGGCTGGTTTGACTGGATTTACCCCCTGGCTGCAGTATTGCCTTGTTAGTTGTGTTTCTGTTCGGATTCCTCCTGTTCTGCTTGCCATCAGGAAATGAGGTGCAGAACCAAAAGAACTTAACGTTATAATCATTTCACAAGTGAAGCACATGAGCAGGGAAAGAAAAAAATAGCTCATGGAAGAGAATCTGGCTCTTTTCGCCCAAGTTTCTGGAGGAAATAGAAGCAGGATTTTGTCCTTTTCTTAATTTGGCTTCAATGAAGAAAACCCTGCCGTTGCTAACCTGGGTTGCACTGAGCTCTGCACCGCCGCGAGCTCGGCGCGTCTCGTGCTGTGCACAGCAGCCCGCTGCAGGGCCCAGGCGCCCTCGTGTATGCTCCCTTATGGAGAAGGTTCCGAGATTCCGCAAGGGACGAAGGGGTCTTCTGGGGGGTTACATGCCCAGCGCTTGCAGCAGTGAACTTTAGACACTTTGAAACATTCTGGATCCACTGCTGCTCAGGTTTGATTATATTTTATTCTGAATGGTCACAGTTCACAGTGTAGCTCTAATCTCCCAAATAGTTTTGCTTTTGGAAAAGGAGTGTCATATTAAAATCCTTTTATACACCCAAATGTCGGGGGGAGGGGTCAGAGCTTGAATTTGTCTTTTTTTCCATGTGACCCTGGCGGCTGCTTAAACTTGGCAGAGGAGAGATCCGCCAGCCCGGTGCGGGCGCTGCCCCGTCTCCATGCCACCCTGCCCTCTGCTTTGACCTTCACCTCTCCCTTCGTTTCCCAGGCCAAGAACCATAGGGCTCCACGCTAAGCCATTAGTCCGTAGTTCTTCTACAATGAGTTGTGAACTTTTGTTGCCTATAGGTGCTTATTTTTCAAAGTATACTTTCAGAATTAAAATACACACATACTTAAAGTGTAGGCTCCAACACAGGGAGCCCAGCACCTCCCAGCGCAGGGGAATGAGCTGGCACCAGTGAGCAGGACTCAGTTTCCCGCGGCAAGCCTGAGCAGACTGAGTGCAGGATTTGAAGGGAGAAGCTAGCGGGGCAGTAGTTCTTGCAGATATTTCCCCAAGGTAATGATCATCCTGCTGGGCTTATCCCACATGTCAATCTGAGGCCATTTACCTTCAGTAGTTTCGGAAAAGATGGAGAATAGGTTCCAAGAAAGGGAAAATGTAAGGGCCATTCAGAGAGGTCAGTGACAAAGATCACAGGGTATGTTGTTGCTGCCTGAAGTATTTTTTTTTATGCAGGACATTTTTGTAAAATGTGTGTGGCAACAGGAATCAGTTTCTCAGTAGAAGGAGGAAATGCATTAGAGGCATTCCTGGCATAGAGTCTCTGTGTTGATATTTGGTGCTATCTATGTCCAACCAACTTGTTACCTACTCTTGAATTCTGGCTAATCTTGTCATGTGCTTTTTGGGTGTATAAAATTATATATATCTATATACATACATACTTCTTTTTGCCAAAACAAAGGCCTTCCTCCTTGTCAAATGATTGCTAAAGCAGATTTCACTTTAGTTTTATATCCATATGGCACCCTGGACACCTGGCAACTCACGTTTTCTCCTGGGGCGTGCAGCTCTCTGGCTGTGAGATAGAACTGAAGAGGGCCCATCTGTTTGCTTTCCCAGCCAGTCCTTGTACCAAGGTTCAGGGGAGGATCTGAAATTGTCATGTTTACAGCAGCAATCTGCTGTAAGATCCAGCTGGCTCAGCTTCACTGTCCTTCCATAATAGTTAGAATTACGTTATTTCATTACCGAGTGGCCAATCTGTTTCAGGGAAGGACCAGTTGGTTTGTGTGGGATCTCAGGTATCGTTAGGAGTCACAGGAGGGGGAGCAGATGTCCCAACCCCCAGAGGCGGCAGAGGGCCACCACCCACCATATCCCGAGGGGCACTCGGCAGCCTGGTACCCCACTGCGGGTCACGGGGCACAGCATGGAGGTGGATGGGCGCGTAGAGAAGCTGCAGAACATCTCGCTGCCCACTTGCGAACTTCTTTCCTTGTCAGGACCTTACTTGTTCCTCAGGTCCAGAGCTCCCTGTGGAGGCTGCCAGGGAAGGAGGGCCCCGCTTCCACAGTACTGGGTAGCGCTCCCTCCGCTGGGGCCACCGCCACGCAGCGTAGGCACCGCAGGGGTGGGGGACACGGATCACCACAGATCAACCTTGATGTCTCATGAAAACAAAAATGACCTGCCTTTTTATTTGATAGTGCATCATTTATTTTATAAATTTTTAGGGTTTTTTTTCTCACTGTAATATTATTGTACAGTTTTGCATGGCCTGGATGTAATCATTTTTGTTTAGAAGATAATGCTGACCAATATGTGTGTATGGAAGGGGAAAAGCTACGCTTTGGCCTCCTATCACTTATTTTGTTTGGTTTTATGCCCTCTGTGTCCTAGGGAACTTTATTAAGAGATTCTCTGCTACCAAACAATGATGTGGGTTCTTTTGCACAGGAAATATTTAAGGTGGGATAGTCAAAAATGTTAACAAGACTCCTCACCAATTATTTTATGTTGGTATCACTTAATATTAACCAGACTTTGATGTACCGCAATAAAACAGGGAGCTGTTAAACCGAGTAGTTTGTCTCTTTCTTTCCCCGTGTGAGAAGTCTGAGCAGTAGAGAAGGGCGCCTGTTTCAGTCTTCCTCGGCCCTGCGCGCTGCGTGGCCCCTCGCCAGCCCGGCCTCCCTCACGCTCCTGGGGATGCAGCGTAGTTGCCCTTTGTGGTTTCATCTGTGGCTAAGTTGCTCCCATAGCCCGTGAGAATACCACACTCCCTGAAGCTGGTGGTGCCCCTCTGGTGTGCACTTCCTGATTGCAGTGCTTCCGTCTGCAAGGCTCACTCCCCCTGCCAAGGTTTCAGGAGGCACCAAACCCTGGGAAGCCGCAGAAGCAGCCGCTCGGGAGTGGGGTGGGGTCCTCCTTTGGAATCAGACATCAGAGGACCCGTGGGTAAGGCTGGGAACTGTCCTAAGAGAAGTCTTGACTGGTGAAACCCCCCATCCCCATCGCCCTGTGACGGGCAAGTCCTGCTGTGTGCGGGGCCACAGCTGCGTGGCGGTGACTGAGGCTTGGCAACTTCCTCCGTGCAGGGCCAGTCAATAAACACACTCGTCTTTGTGGACTGTGCGCCTGAGGCGTGTGGCAGCTCTTCACCTCTGCCGCTAAGCTTCCTTCAGAGGTACAGTGGACCCAGTGAGGCCCGTGGACCGGAGCCTGCTGGGCCTTGGTGTGGACAGCAGGGACTAAAGGACCAGACCATCTTGTTCAACATTCTGGTTCTACCACTTGCTGCTGTCTGGCGATGCCCACTGAGTGCCAGGAGGCATGAGTGTGCCCGTCTCAAGAACAACGCCTGCCTGCGGTGCAGTCTTCTGTCACTATTAACCACCAAGCCCAGCAGTGGGGAACACTCCGTCCAGGCTGCATGTGGGGACCCACTCAGACTGCCTCGAAGCTCAGGGGCATCTGAGGACACCTGACCCTGCCTGCCTAGCGCAGACACACAGTGGGATACAGTTACGTCCTCATGACAGCACGGGTAAACACGCACGTGCTGGTTGTGGCACTATGTAAGAATGTAAATGTGAGAGAGCCACCTGTGTAAGAATTACACAGTACAGCTGCCAGCACTCTTGCTCCGGCTCTCCGCTCTGCTCCATGCTGCCTGCTGTTGGTGCTGCCTTACACATGGGTGTTCTTTAACCCTGGGACCTCACCCACAAAAATCTCCCTTGGGCCCCTGAGCAGGCTGACACTGTGACATATGCATCCAGTCACTAGATGTTGAGGATACAAGTAGAAAGCCCTCCACAAAGTCACGCGCTTCCTGCCGTCTTTCAGTGTGAACGGAGACCACCATCATTCAGTACCTTGACACGGGAAAAGCCACGATAGGTGCAAAGCCGTACATGTGTGGCCAGGTTCACAACAGGTTCGTCCTGCACCATTATTTACAGAGCTGGTGCTTTCTACTCCTAACCAGGAGGCGCAGGTGGCAGGTGCTCTCGGGCTGGCTGCAGTCTCGGTCCGTGGTCTTGCTGTTGTCTCTGTTCCCATCCTCTTTGTAGCGCAGCCCCATTTGTCAGGCCTGAGAAGAGGGGGCTCAGGGCCCTGGCAGGGGGACCTGTGGGCTCTGCAGTGTGGCTGCCCCGGGTCTGCGCGGGGAACCCAGGGTGCCAGAGAGCAGCCCACAGCCAGTCCCTTGAGGACTGAGGGCCACGCCAGGGCCCAGTGCTCACGGCAGGCCTCCCTGGGGCCGGTCGGACGGACCTGCCCATCCTGCCCAGAGCCCGGCACGGCGGCACTCAGGCCCACGCCTCAGGAAGGAGCTTTCCTCTAAGACCCTTCACAGCCACACGTGCCGGTCACCCCTGCTCCTTCCCAGCGCGCATGCCTGGTGTCCCGCAGTCACGCCCTGTGAAAGCAGCTCTTCCGGAGTAACCGTCTGCTGTGCTGGCTCTTGAGTGGGTTTTGCTGCCTCACCCGGCGCCTGCCCTGCCGCAGGGGTCCATGGCCACAGCGGCCCGTGTGGCTGTGCGCCGAGGCTTCGGCAGGGACGTGGGGGTCACAGTGACTACGGCTGAGCCCACCGCGCGGTGGAGCACCCAGGGGCGGGCGGGCTGTGCAGGGGAAGGACCACCGCATCCACAAAGGGCGCCACCACCAGGCCAAAGCCCTGAGGCCGTTAAAGCACACAGGAAGGGGCTGTGCACAAGCACTTCGTTTAATTGAACGGAAACAAGTAAATGTGGTAATTACAACACCGGTACAAAAGTTCACGCACCTGCGCTGACCCTCCGGGTGGACGCACCGGCCAGTGCCGCCTCCGGCCCCCGCCTGCCCCCCTGCGAAGGAGGAGCCCTGACGGGTCAGTCGTCCAAAACAGGTCGGCAGCGGCCAAGCAGCCCCGGCTGTGTGGGCGATGGCGCCCACGGCGCTGCTCCCAGCCCCACAGCGCAGGTGAGAGGCACGGAGAGACGCCGACTCAGCCTCGGTACCGACGGTCCCGGAAGCTGCTGGGCCGCCGGGATCAGCAGGAGGCGCTGCCTGGGTTCTGGCTGACACAGGAGGGAAAAGGAGACGGAGGATAAACTCACCCCCTTGAGATTTCGGAGGACAGAGTCTGACAGAAGAGTGGCGTTCCGCTGCCTTCCGGCACTTGTCACTCCACCCACTTGGCCTGAAAACCCTGTGAAAGCACTGCAGGGACCCTCGCGCTGGCAGGAAGTCAGGGGGGAGGTCACCGCCGCCACTTCCCACGCGCCACCTCGGCTCCGCCCTGGCTACTGCTGCTCAGCCTGCGGCCGGCGGTAGTTGCTGTAGGCCTCCTCAAACATGGCCTTGCAGGGGAAGCGGGCCTTGAGCTTGGAGCAGATGAGGAAAGAGCCACCCATCTTCCGGTGCAGGGAGTAGGTCTCCTCGGGCGGCGGGATGAGGCGGTGCTTCAGCATGACGGGGATCAGGTTGTGGATCTTCTCGGTGGTGCTCTGGGTGCCAAAATCGAAGGGCTCCTCCGAGGCGAAGGCCTCGCCCAGGATGAGGATGGCATCCAGGTGGGCGTCTTCCATGGCCTGGGGGAGGGAAGAAGAAAAATGGCGACAGGACCCGCGAGTCCCTCCCCGGTGCTCTCCTGAGAGCTGGGAGGAGCCGAGGGGCCACCTCGTGGGGGCTCTGCGCATGAAGCACGGTCAGGCGGGCGCGTGAAGCCCGCCGCAGTGATTGATGCGAGCGGCAAGGGCGTGAAGCGGCCTGCAGCAGGAAGAAGCCACGCTCCAAGCTGTGCAAAATACTTCTCCGGCCGAAGAGAACAGACCCCGGCCTGGCAGGGCCTGGCCACGTGCTGGCTGTGGCGCTGGGCGCAGGCTCCACGCTGCGTCCCGCACAGGGCGCACGGGGAGGGACTGGCCTGGCGGAGCACGGGACAGGGACAGGCCACGGCTGGCCGAGGCGGTGAGGGACACAGCCACGCTGCGGGAGGAAACGGGAGCTGCTGATCTGTCCCGGAGGCCACGAGACAGCACGGCCCGCTCCTGTGTCCAGAAGGCAGAGCGAAGCACCATGCCACCCACGTGTCTGAAGTTCTGCTCTGACCAGGCAGGGCCCCAGGACGGAGCCTGGACGCTCTCCTGGTCCTCGGCACCAAGGAAGAGAGAGCGCTGCTCGCAGTGTGACTTCGGCCAGCCCACGTCCCCTTATTACAGGGCCACGGCCACCCCCGCTAGATCCCCTGCCTGTGCCGCTGGGGGTCCCCAGTTTGTGGAAGCCCTAGAAGCCAGCTGCCCTGGCTGTCCCAGGTTCTACCCCTTTCCACACCGAGGTTCCACCCAACATTTCAGAGAAGCAGCAGTGGCTGCCCACCCTCCCTGGCCACCAGCAGCAGCCAGCAGCCTGGGCGGCGGCGCTCACCTTGACCTCGTAGCCGGTGAGAAACTTCATCTCGATGGACTTCTGGCGCACGACCTCCCGGTCCCGGTCAGCAGCAGCCCTGATGATCTGGGCAGAGGCACAGGGCAAGGCTCCCACGGCCGCCGGCCCGGCCCACCCTGCCCACCCTGCCCTCCACGAAGCCCCGGGCCAGGAGCTCACAGTCACCAAGCTGAAGCGCATGACCCCATCCTCCTCCCTCCCCAGTATCTAGTCCCAGCCCCAGAAAAACGTGGGCCCAGCTCAGGCCCCTCCAGCCTCACCTGAATGTAGAGATCAGTGAAGGATCTGTCGTATTCCCGAGTGGCCCCGAAGTCCAGAAGAGCCACCTAGGGATGCAGACAGGCCAGGTTGGCCCCGGGGCACTGAGCAGGGGAGACGATCTCTGTAGGGACCGAGAACCACGCTCACAGGCTGGCTCACCAGCCCTTGCCCAGGGGCTCACCTTGTGCTGCTGGGGGTCGTAGAAGAAGTTAGACCAGTTGGGGTCTGTCTGCATGAAGTGGAACTCAAACAGCTCCCTCAGACAAAGGACCAGGATGTTGTAGCAGATCTGTGATGGGGGCAGGGCAGCAGTGTCAGGCTGCCTGGGGACTGGAAGTGGACTGAACAGGCCCCCCAAATCCCAGCTCCACCGTGACCCCTGCCAGGTACCAGCTAGGGAACCAGCAGCCGGCACGGCGGGGACAGCAGCTCCGACCCACCTCGTTCCGAACCTCCTGGCTCAGCCCCTCAGCCTGGTCCAGGGGGAAGCCGGACACCAGCTCCGTGGTGAGCACGTGCGGGCTGCAGAGCTCCTCCACGATCTCGGGCACGTAGAAGAAGGGGTGGTCCTTCAGCAGCTCCCTGGGAGGGACGGGCAGTCCCATCTCAGCACTGCCCCACGGCCTCCCACAGGGATACCCACCGGGCGGAGCCCGGCCTTGCTGCGGTGGGATGGGGTCTGGACCATCACCCTTGGAGCAGGCGGGCCCTCATCCCCCAAGGCCGCCTAGAAGGGGCGCGGCCCCCGGGGCACCCACAGGGTGGGGCAGCAAGCAGCGCACCGGAACCTCCTGGCGCAGGTGGCCTCCCGCTCGTAGTCACACTCAAGGGCCAGCTCCCGCCTCAGCACATCGATCAGGTGCTCCGGGAACAGGCCTGGGAGGGCGCAGGGGTGTCAGGCAGGACGGGCACAGGGCCCCGCGGCCCCCACAGCATGGTCCCCACCGCCCGGCCCTCAGCCACAGCGCAGCCTCGGACCTTCGGGGAGCATGTTGCTCATGTTCAGCACGGCCATGAGGTTGTTGACGTCACTGTTGATGCTCTGCGCCACGCCAGGGTACTGTGGGAGACAGGGGTCACCTGGGCAGACAAGGCAGGACCCCTCGAGGCCACTGCCCCTCATGCTCCTGTTCGCCCCCCAGCCCTGTCACACTCAGACCCTGCACCTCGGACACCCAGTCCGTGCTCCAACATGGCCCTGCTCTCCCCTCCTCCAGAGGGGTCACCAACTAGGGCCCCTCCCTCCAGCTGCCCGAAAGGCAATCCCTGTCCCCCACCCCGGCCATCCTGAACCAAGCTTGCTGGAAACCTGTTCCACCCTGCAAGTCACTCCATCAGCAAGCACTTCCTGAGCGTCCAGGGCGGGCATGTGCTAAGGGCAGGAAGGGGAGGGGACAGCAGCCCTGCACTAGGGACAGCAGGGCGTGGCTCCCCTCACTGCAGCCCAGGGGACCAGCACACGCGGGCACCCACCTGGATCTTCATGGCCACCTCGCGGCCGCCCTTCATGCGGGCCAAATGCACCTGCCCGATGGAGGCAGCCGCAAAGGGACGCTCCTCGAAGTACTCCAGCTTGTCCCTCCAGTTGGGGCCCAGGTCGTTGTTGAGCGTTTTCTGCAGGGAAAAGCCGCGGTGAGGGGCCCAGTCCGCCCCTGCAGAGGAAGGGGGTCAGGTGGCCGCCCCGCATCCCCTCACCATCATCTGCTTCAGCGGCATGAAGTCAGCGCTCTGCCGCACCCGCTCGAAGATCTTGGCCAGATGAGGGTTGATGAACGCGTCATCTGCAAGGCACGGGCCCAGTCAGGCAGGAGAGCCCCACTCAGGCCAGAAACCAGGGACAGCTCCACCTCGGCAGCGCGGGCTCCTGAGCCTGGGAGCCGAGGCGGCGCAGCCTGCCCGACACTACACCGAGCCAGGCTCAGCCTCCTCCCTGCTCCCACGGAGGCCGTGGACGGCAGCTCTGGAGGGACAGTGAGCCACGGTGCTCTCAAGTGCACGCACTCCTGGCCAGCAAGCAAGTCCAGAGGCAAATGTGCCCTGCCCTGGGGCAGCAACCCCACTGGGAGCCCAGGGTAAGGCGCTCAGCAGGCCCAGCGGAGCCCTCAGAGATTCTCTCAGCCACCTGGCACCACAGGGAGCCCTGACCTCAGCCCAGCAACCTGAGGCGAGGTGCTTAAACTTAACATGGAAAGCTTACAATTGCAAAAGAAATCTAGGAGATACAGTAAAATATTAAAATTCCCTGTAACCTGACCACCTCCAGCGAACTCGTTTCCCCTCTGATCTGTGCTCTGGGCTTCTCTCAACCTGCTGTCACACTCTAGGGCAGTGAGAGCTAACCTTTTAGCGCTTTCACTGACAGGCACCGCCCGCTGCGGCACACGTGCCACGCTTTCGTCACCACTGCTCTAGGGAGTCTACTGGCGCCTCCCAGGCAGCCTTCTCCCCGAGCCTTCTCCCCACCGTGTGGCTCCTGTGCTCTCTGAGGGCCCGGCAGTAGCAACAACAGCAGAGGCAGGACACCAGCTGCACCCTCCCTCAGCCCAACCAGGGTGAAGCACTATGGAGGCTGGGGGCCTGACCCTCACCTCTCCCGGCCAGGGCGGCTATTGCACACTGCGCTCGGTGCCAGCGCCATGGCTCTTCCCTGCCACAGGCCCAAGGCCCCCACACCACTCCTCTCGGGGCCTGGCCGACCTCCCCTCTGGGCTCACAGCCCCCAGCCCCAGTGCCAACACCTAGGGCAACGCAGCAGGCAACGGGACTGCGCTCGACTCCTGCACCTACTAAGACACACGACCACCCCGGGGGTGCAAGTGCCGTCAGCTGCTGGCTGTGAGCGCCCTCCAGGCCCGCGAGCCGCAGCCACTCACCCTGGATGCTCAGCATCTGGCCCAGCTTCAGCGCCGCCCCGCGCACCTTGCACAGCGTGCGCACGATGCGCTCTGCGTTCGCCTCCGACAGGAAGGGGCTGGAGTCCAGCACGGCTTTCTTCCCTGGGGGCGGAAGGGGTGTCGTGTACTCCATGGGGTCCAGGAGTGTGTGCCGCATCTATGGACTCCTGCTATCCCCGAACCCAGCAGCGCAGTTCCAAATCCACACCCCACGCCCACCTCCCAGGCCTGGATGAGGCGCGCTGTGCTCACCAGGCCTCCCTCCCCTGGCACACAGATACAGACACACACACACACACACACACACACACACACACACACACACAGGAGCTCTCCTCTGTACCAGTCCCTGGGGACTCGGGGTCACCATAAGCAGCAGTTAGCTGCAAGTGGGGTCAGCGCTGGGAGGAGGACCTGGAGGAGCCCGGGGAACAGTGCCCAGCTGAGCACCGCCCGTCTTCAGCCACCCCGTACAGGACCAAGGTCCCAGCCCTGGGGCTGTCCTTCAGGAAGGGCGCACAGGGTCAAGGACAACACACGCTCTGAGGCCTCGCTTCCTGAGGCCGGAAGCTCAGTGCTGCCAGCTGGCCATGCAGTGACCCCAAGGTTGTAGGTGACCTTTGCCCAGGACATGGGAGGTGGCAAGGTGCCCAGGGCATCTCCAAGGAGCTGCAGGAGGCCAAGGGAGCCCTGATGCCAGGCAGCAGTGTGACCAGGAGACTTGGCCCTCTGCCTAAACACGAAGTACGCCCTGCGGAGATGGGGAGAGGCCCAGGAGGGCTCCGAGCGCCGGGTTCCTCTGCCCTCTCTGAGACCCCTGCACCCTCTGGCTGGGCGTCCAGCCCCGGTGACGTTTGGGGCCTCTCTTGCCCTGTGTCCTGAGTCCAGTTAAATGAGAATGCCTTCACAGAACATGGCACCTGCCTCAGCTTACATACCACGGATCTGGAAGGCAGAGCACCTAGCAGAGGTCATTCTTCGTGTTTGGGCCGAGACGCTCGGGGACACAGCGTGTGTGTACCGGGTGCGTGCTTGGCATGGGGCTGTGCGCAGTCCCAAGCAAGGGAATAGGAGAAGCGGCCCTACCACCGCTGTACGCCGTGTCGTGTGCTGGGCCATAAGCTTGAAGGATTCAGGACACGGAGGAGGCTGAGGCCACCAGGCGTTCGGGAAAGGGGGAGGCTCACAGCTCGGTCCCACAAGGCAAGACAGGTGCCAGGAGGGTGCTGGGTGGGAAAGGACTTTGGCCCCACAGCAGCACCAATCAGGAGACCTGGACCCACATGGCCCAGGCAGCAGCAAAGCACCAGCGATGAGGGGAACAGTGCTTCAAGCATCCCCTCTGCCCTCCCCAGCCTCTAGGGGTCTTCAGGGTGGAGAGGCAGAGGAAGGAGGGACCCTAGAAGCAGCCTGGCCAAGGCTGGAGGAGTTAGTTTTCCCTCTTAGGGAGTTAGGCTACCAAGGGGCTGGGCTGGCTGCAGGGCTCCTGAGACGCGAGGACGGCATCTGGCCCGGCTGGGCTGTCCCAGGCAGCTGCAGCCCACAGCTGGTCATCACCATAGGCAGGAGGCATGCCATCAGGATGGGCCAGGACCGCCAGGGCAGAGACCTTCTCCTAGCGCAGGGCTCAGCCGGCCTGCCGAGTGGCCTCCAGGGCAGGGGATGCTGAGCCTGCCTGACAGCTGGAGCACTGCGTGGGGACTGCCCAGGGCTACCACACCCTGGCCTGAGTCCCAGCTTGCAGGACTAAGGACTGGAATCCTTCATGCCTCGTCTCAGGTCACCGCCGTCCCTGGCCGAGGACACCAGTAACCTTGGAGCCAGCCTGGCCTCTGCTCTGCTTGGACGAGGGAGGAAGGAGAGCAGCCAGCTCTGGGGTGAGGAGCGTGCAGGGCCAGGCAAGGCCATGGTCCACTCCAGAGCGACCCGGCTCTGCTTCCCGCGGTGCTGCAGTACCGACACTAAAAATACCCTGGCTCAACCCTCATCTTGCAGCCCCTTCCAAGGACACGCATGGCGCTCCACGTCCCCAGTAATCGGAGCCTGTGAGGACGAGGCGAACGTCCTGTCCCCAGGAGGAAGAGCCCTGCAGGTATGGGCTGGGGGGGGGGCGGTCCTGGGTTGGGTAGACCCTTGGCCCACAGGAGAGCTTGGCCTCCCACAGCAGCATGGGCAGTGGGGTCAGGAGGTCCCCATGGACAGCTTGGAGATGTGTGGACCACGGTAAGCCAGCAGTCCTGGAGGGCAGCACGGGTGGGGTGGGGCTCACAGGCCCAACCCCCGGGTCCCCCGCACCTGTCACAGGGCCCCGCTCACCTGTGGAGTTATCAGGGCGCAGACTCTTCTTGGCAACCTCGGCCAGGGCCCCAAAGCCCAGGCCCACAGCCAGACCTGCAAGAAGGGCACGGGCACTCAGTGCTCGCATGGCCCCCCGCCCACCGCCAGGCCCCGGTGGCTCTCCCTGGCATCCCAGCGTGGCGGAAAGCTGCGGAGGCAGGCGTGACGCAGTGGTGCTTTCGGGGGCCATTAAGCAAGGGTTTCTGGTGGGGAAGGCCACGCGGCCCCGCCGTCCCACCAGCACGTTGGACTGCAGAACCACGGGCACATTAATGGACCCTAGAGCAGCACACACTAGGGAAGGAGGACCAGACATGGTCCGCGGGCCACGGACAGCCTGACAGCATAGGACACCCCAGGGAGCACAACCACCCACTTCGGTCTGCACGCAGAGCCTCGGGGATGCAGGACCCACTAGGAACACTTCCGAAAGCAAAGATCCAGGCCGTGATCCGGGCCGGGGGACACGAGGGAGCACAGCCGCCCGCTCTGCAGCGTCTGAGGCACTGAGGCTCAGGCCCGCCGTTTCCATCCGTGGCCTTGCACACTGAAGCCCACTGACTCCTTCGTCCAAAACCAACTGCCCTCACGATCCCAGCTGTTCACAAAGCCTCCCCCGGGATCCCGCAGGCGCCACTAACCCCCAGAGGAAGCCGGGGAGCCTTGCGCTGGGCCAGTGCAAAGCCATCAGGAGTGGGAGGCAAGCGCTGACCGCAGCAGCAAGGATGACACTCAAGCGCCCCAGGGCAGGCAGCCCCCACACCCACGGGAAGGAAGTTACTGCGCACTGTCTAGGGGCGAAGAAATTTGCATCTGTGTCTCTTTTTCCAAATTTTCTACAATGATTATGTATTATTTGTAAGAAAATGACTGACTTACTGAAAAATTTACCTCATGGAGAATAAATTTTAAAAATTAGAAGATAATTCCATTTTAAAACCTCTCTTTGCAATCCCTGTCACCTCCAGTAGGTGGCAGTGCAGCCTCCACGCTGCCGGCCCTAAACAGCACTCACTCGGGTCCTGAGGAAGACCGAGTCCCCGAAGGAAGGCGCTTGCACTAGCGCCGAGCACATGTCCTGCTAGGAACCCTGTCCGCTGTTACTAGCACTGCCCCGTTCAAAACGGCTGTAGGTGCACTCAGCCTTTAAACTCCGTGTGGCACACGCACAGCACGTCTCACTTTCGGCCAGCCTCGTTCCAAAAGCTCTGTGTGGCCGGCTCAAGCGCTCAGTGTACCGACTTGGCAAAGAAGCCAAGCACCAGCCCCCTCAGGAAAGTGCGCTGTGGGAATGCTCTTAGGGATGACAGCACACCAGCCAGGTCATCCAGTGGTACGGGGACTGAGGGACCAGAGCCCAGGGGCCTGGCAGGTGCAGCAACTGCGTTTCTGACCCTTCCCCCGCCTGCACCAAAGGGACTGGGCACGGGCCAGAGGCTGGCCAAGGCCCAACTAAACATTAACTCCCCACCATCCCCCATCTCACCCTACCCACCACTCTATCTGACTGAGCACAATAAATGACAACAGAAAACATTAACCTTCACTCTGTGACAGCCTCTGCCAAAGTCTCTCTCAGTCTCCATTCCTCTCTGCCCAGGGCAAGTCCAAAGACAAGGCCACAAAGCCTGGTCTCAAGGAGCGGGCGCCATAGCCATGCCAGGCCCCTCACAGGCAGAGCTGTGTCCCCTACACACAGCCCCACTTGGACCCCCTCAAATGCTCAGCTCAAACTGTTCTCGGCCGCTTCGAGGCTCCCAGGAAGAGCCTGGCAAGCACCTGCCATTAAGCAAATCACTGAAGGAACCTTCCACAGAGCAGGCCTCAGGCTCCTTCCACGGCCCTGCACGGCCCTCAGGACAGGCCAGAGCCAGGCCAAGGTGGTGCCAGCCACGCGACACACAGGCTCCGCAGGGCGAGCAGTGGGGTGGCGTAAACAAGCCCGGGCAGCCAGCAACCATGACCTTGGCCTTCCCTCTCCTGTTCTCAGGTGAACCCAAAATGAAGTGGCATCAGCACACCCCGCCAACCCAGCACAGGCCCAATTCAATTCTCAGAGCCCTCATTCTGTTCAGCCTTCACCCCAGCCAGGCAGGGCCGGGGCAACTGCAGGAAGGCGGACACCCCAGCTGGAAGGCCCAGGCCTCATGAGAGCCCCCGAGCCACGCTCCAACCCCCTCCCACCTCCCTGGCCCCAAGCAACACCCCCCACCACGTAATGAGTGGTGTTCCAGGTGGCCCGGGTGGTGTCCTGGAGAAAAATGGGCTCTGAAGCCACTGTCGGCAGTCGGGGCACCCTCTTGGCCTAGGAAATGGCACCCACACAGCCCAAGAAAGTTCCCGACACATCTCAAAGAAAAGGAGCTGCTGCAGCGGGTGGGGGCGGAGAGCAGGGTCTCCCTTGGGAGAGCACGGAGCCTGCACCCCAGGCCACGGTTCAGTTCTGCACAGCGTGGCCTCTCGTCCCTCAAGTCCCTCCAGGGGTCATCAGAAATAAACAAGGCCCCCTCTCCACAGCCAGACACACAGGTGAGAAAGTACAATCCGAAACACCTTCCACACGCAAGGCCCTTCCACAGCAGGCCAGGTGGAAAGTGCACGTGGGCAGGAACAAGTACGCGTTCCGGATGTCTCTGGCTTCCTGTCAGCAAGGCCGGGCGTGTTTACACAGCAAGGCTGAAGGAAGCCCCTGAGGCAGCGCGTGCGCACCCAGGGATGAGGCAACGGCGATGGCACTCACTGGCACCAGGCGCTGTCCTAGGCCACAGCGGTTCTGTGGTATAGTTTTTGCAGCACCAGGGCTAGGCAAATTCTTCGCCCTGAGCCACGGGCCTCTAAGAATCCTTCTGATCTGCTAAGACTGGAGCCCCACAGACAGTGCCCACGCCTCGCTGTTCACAGCTCCGCCCCCGCCGCGAGCCTCGGCCAAGGACAAGACCTGGTAGGGAAGGCAGGGACAGCAGCACCATGGGGACACGAGAGGGCCAGGACAGGGACCCGGACCTTCAGGACAACTGGGATGATGATGACAGAATACAGAGGAAGAGCAAGTAAAAGCAGAAAGAAAAATTTGAGGAAAGAAACTAACAGCAGAGAAGATAAAAGGCAATTTCAGGAGCAGAAGGCCAGAAGAAACGGGAAAGATTAGAAGAACCTACACTGCTCACGCCAGGAGAACACTTAGCGAGTAAGCTACAGCTAAAGACATCACAGGAAGACTCAGATCTGGAATTAGCAAAAACCGTTTGGTGTTAATAATAGTTCATGGAATAGATGCTATGAATCTGCCTTTAAGAGACCATTTCCCAGTGCAGAAAGTTATTAGAAGATAAAATTACGTAACATGAAAAGTCACCACAGCATATTACACGTTTTTCTGAAAGCCTTAGGTGTGTGTCCTTCACTGGAAACTGACGACTCGGAAACAATTACCAATTCACTAGCTGTGCTTTGCAGGGTAAAACTGAAGGAAGCAAAGCCCAGCCAAAAAGAAAGGCATGATTCCTGGTGGGGGATTAAAGGCCACCAGAAAGGACTATCTGGCAGCTACCGGGGGATACGATGGAGCATATGCAGAGAACTATGGAGACGTCATGGGATGTTTTATCTTCTCCTGGTGTCTTCTTTCTGTTTCCCACAATTCCTTTAACAGGCAGCACAATGTCCTTTCCTTTCAGCTCTGCCAAATGCTCTCCCATCAGCAGCAGAGTCTCTTCTGTGCTGGTTACTTAGCCCCTTGCTGAGGTACAAAGGAGGGAACTTAGATCTTGCTGCCAAGGGGTTAAAATCAAGGCCCTCAATTGTTACTAAATCACAGTTTGAAAACAAATCTAATGATACTGTTGTTCCACAGCAGCAGTCATCAAATTAGAAACAAAGATGGGTGACAAAAAATGATGCAGCAATGACCACCACCGTCCAATGACACAACCTGTCAAGACAGGGCCTGCGGCTCCCTGTCCAGGAGGGGTCTGCCGCACTAGCATTCGCCGTGCACCTGGGGTTGACACTGCTTTGTCTTAACACTGAGTGTGATATTAAGAATGTATTGTGAAGGAGACCGCTTATCTCAGAGTGAAGATATTTAAATGTCAAGTAACCAAAACCTTCCAACTAAAAGCTGAAGATAAACCCTTGCATCACCGCAGCACACGCTGTACAGTCTGCTGAGTGCACTGACTGCCCACTTTCACTTTGTGAGAAAAAAAAGTCTACAGAACGAAGACTGAGGGGCAGAGACGCTGGCCCTTGCTTCCAGGTGGTCCTAAACCCCCAGGAATCAGTCTGTCTTTACCACCACCCGGCACCTTCCAGTGCCCCAGCCCCACAGAACACAGGCCTGGGAGGGGCGGAGTCAGGGGAATGCGAAGGAGAAGAGGAAGGACTGAAAGCTCGGCCGGGCCTGTTCCCGCAGCTTCTCAGGAGCGGGGCCTCTGTTCCTAGAACCGGACCTGCCCGACTGCGGTGCAGAGGGAGCTAACTACACGGTGTCCAGCCAACCCTTCCCATGCAGCCAGAGGCCGGGCTGCCAGACCACGTACAGCCCTTGGCAACTGGCAGGCACACTGGCTCAGCTTCCTCATGTGTAAGAACAGAGAACAGTAACCGCCTTATCTCCAGCAAAGAGCTCCTGGGAGCAAAGCACACGGAAAAGTGGGAAGTGGAGAGATGCCCGCGCCCCTGCCCTGGTGCAGACTTCTGTACCCGGAAGCTTCGCGTGTCCCCAGCTACTGCACGTTGCTCCTCTGGGAAGCCCAGAGATGCAGCTCTGTCAGCAGAGGGCCTTGTGACAGCAGGTCAGAGCACGTGGTGCTGCACGGGGATCTGGACAGGCCCTGTCCCTACCAGATCCCACCCAGTCAAGGGCCCAAGGGCACTGCCATGGTGCCATGGCTCTGCCAGCTCCTGGCCAGGCACAGCCAGACCCTGACCACTAACCAGGACAACACAACTAAATTATTCAATTTATTATCCTTTATCTTAGGAAAATATCCTTCGTACTTTTGCACTGTTAAAATGTCTTTTTACAGGGAACAAAAGAGGAAGTAGTGAGA